AAAAAAAAAAAAAAAAAAAAATATATATATATATATATATATTCATACATACAAACACACATGTATATTTGTATAAAATTACAAAAATAAATTTATATTTTATAGCTGTAAAATTATATAAATATAGATATATTTATGTATATATTTTTTAAATATTTCGTATATTTTTTTATAATATAATCATATTTTATTAAAACAAAAATTTATATATATTAAAAAGTAATTAATAGTGTTTATCGGGATATTTTTACATCCTCACCGTGATATTAATATAACAATAGCGTGATAAGCAATTAATAAAATTGCTGACATGAACTACACGAAAAGGAGGATGTAATTAGGTTTATCACCTACTCTCCCGGAGAATGTCGCGTAATTGTCGCGTATAGAGCGGTACGTGCATGGATAAATATAAGATTTTTCAATTAATTAAGAGTTAAGAGGAGAGCACGAATTTGATAAGAATAAATCGACATCTTTAGTGTGTACACCTGTTCTGCATTGCAAAATATTACCAGAAAGAAATGATAATATCCGCACATTTATTTTTGAATTATCATTCTAATCACTTCTTTCATCTCTTTCTTCATTTAGACTTAAAATCACGCATATTCGATCTATTTTGTGATGTCGTAGGAACAAGATACATCTCAAATAATCAATTTTTTTTAGGACGAAGCACGCTTATTTACTCTGAATAATTAAACAACGTTAAATTAAAACAAGAATTAATTGCAATTAATAAGGATAAAAGAGAGGTAATAAGTTAGTTACTGTTTTAGTTACACTATATGTACTTTGTATATGGATAAAAAATCTTTCTAAAACCAAACAATTTAAGCTGTCACTAGTTCGATGGTTTTTATTAATTGAATACTCAAATATTTATGCTTTTAAAAGAGGAGACTTCATTTCTTTGTTTCAGAAACGCGTGGTGTGTTCGTGATTAGCATTTAACACGCGCGACTAGTCATATATAAACACTCATTTTTATTCGCATTATCGCGCTTTGACTAAGCAATCGACATAATTACGTCATCTGAGTTATGATAGACTCCAAGAAAAATCATGATAATGCAGAATCCCGAGTTTTCTTAGTTTTATCCGTGAATCTTGCGACATTGTTTTTAGTTAACACAATTCCAAGTTGCTTCTAATTTATTTCTGCTTGAAATAATCATCATGGTAAACATGCATAATCCTGAAAAACCAAAATCCCACAATTCGGGAAAAATATCGATTTCAATATCGAAAATTCACAATCCCAAAAACTACAGCGCATGCACAATTTCTCCTGAAATACTGAAAACATGAAGTTATTCTACAAAGACTACATTTCGAAATTCACTGCCAGTACTAAAAATCTATAGTTTATGTTACGTATACTATAGAATTTTAATATTGGCAGTGAATTTCGAAACGCAGCCAAAGTTGTATAACAAATCACTAATAACTTTATGCCTTCAATATTTCAGGAGATTATTCCGCTGTACACAATTTTCGGGATTGTAACTTTTTGGGACGTTGTCCCATTTTTATAGTTTCGCCATACCTTCTTTTTAGACTTATGCATCCACTATCACCATTAGTGGGTATGTTTCGATAAAAATCCGTAGGAAAGGATGATGATCGACTCATAAAATTTATTTTTGGTTTCGATTATCTTAACGGAAGCTGATGCACTTTTTAACGGCACTTGTGCAACGCGGTTGAATTACACAGAAGCGCCACGTCGTTGAGTTGCAAGTTTCGAGATTGTGACGAAACGAACATGGTTTGTTATTTGAATTGTAGGTTTTATGATAATTATGTCAGAATATAACAGTGGGTGTTTGTACACGAAAAATAATCGATGATTCGAGGTTAAAGTCCCTCTTATCAAATCTCCGGCCGCGTTGTAAAAAGAAACGAGGAATATTAAGCACAATGTATAATAAAATTCACAAAACCTTATATAAGATTTTTTTCTTCTCTCTGATTGTGAAAAGTGATTCTATATAATTATATAGACATATATAATTACATATGAATTAGATATAATTATATATAACTCATATATGAGTTTTGTCTCTATATATATGGCTGTATATACAATTATTATTGTTTTCATCTGTTTCTTCATTCTCATCACTTCTGTTTTCTTTCACTACTTTCTTCATTTCCTCAACATCAATGTCTTGAGGTACTTAGCGCGTGTCAACTGGAAATTGGCAAGATCGCGAAAAGGAAGTATATATTAATTATAATGCAATATTGTTACTATTGTTGCGTGCTTATTAACGCAACGTACTCGCATAAATCTAATTGTCGATTGCTGTTGCTGCTATGTGATGTCAACTACTCAGCGCATCCCGACTGATTGTCTTTTGTTATTGTTTCAGTGACGCAATGGTTGTGCACATGGAAATGCGTGGCTTTGTTGTGTATTCTGGTCTTAACACTAAGTACTATTGTATTGGGCTCTCTATATTTCACTCGTTACACGGACGCACCGGTTTTCCCGGAAATTCCAGACTCATCGTTGAAGGGTAATTATCCTATCAGAAAAATTCTCTTCCAAGAAAGTGCGCGATGCGAAGGAAAATTAGATAAACAGACAGACTCGTATATGTAGACGGGAAGTTGACGTTATTGCATGCATCGCGCTTTCGAAATCGCGATGTTCATATCATCTTCCGTCTATCCATCACATATTTTTGCATTTAATTAATTGTTTGTTTGCGCGTGCATGGAAAATGCGTTTGTTTCAGTTGTGAATTTTCCTGAGGTCGACAGAGCGACTGTGTACTCAAGCGTGTTTATTTGTTTTTCATTTTTAACTAGACAGGAAGATATTCTTTAGTACGCACGCGTAAGACAATAAAAGAGAAAACCAAATAAAATACAAAGCAGAGTAAAAATACTAATTAAGTTGTTCTTAATTTAATAATTGATTGAACAAATATATTACAATTAAACCAATTAACAATTGATATAAGCAAAAGCAATCAAGGGATGTTCAATATTTCTACCCTTTTCCTTATCTATCATGTCCAATTACATTTCCCTACTTTATTCAACGGGTACCATATCGTCCTTTCATACAATAATATCTCATATAATAATCTCTGTTATAATCTCTGTCACAACTTCTGTCACAACCTGTTTTTCCTTTCAGCACACATTTATCATTTTATTTTTGCTCTTTCTATCCGATCTCTTCGTTGCTTTCCGTATTTCTTTCTTTCCTCCAATTTTCTTCAATATTTTGTTAGTTTTATATATTACATCATTCTCTATACTTTCTGATAATTCCTAATAATTCTATAGAGTGATTCCTCTCCTCTTTCCTTCATTTCCTATATGTCTTCTTCAGCTTACATCGCAAAAAAGTTTCGTATATTCTCATACTTTCCTCTTACTCTTTGCACTTCAATCTTCTCACACAGTATTTGTCTTATTAGTCCTTGTGTCATCTTCTTCTTCTATATACCTTTATTTTATTTCAATATTTCATCCGATGACGCAATACATTCTCGAACGTTATTCGGACGCGAAGTTTCTTTATTTTTCATCTTGTGTAACATTTCTTCTTGGTGATCATCAGATGTGACAGTGAATTTGATGCGCTTCGTGGAAAGGAATGAATGGGCCGCCGACCCGCCCTCGATGCCTTTAATGAAGCTGAAGTTGCCGGTGCTCTATGTGATCATCAGTCACACCGCCACAGACTTCTGCACTACACAGTCCGAGTGCACATTTCGCGTGAGACTCGCGCAGACCTACCATATCGAGATGAGGAACTGGTCAGACATCGGCTACAACTTCCTCGTTGGCGGCGACGGCCTCGCATACGTCGGCAGAAGCTGGGACTATGTCGGCGCCCATTCCTTTGGCTACAACAATCGCAGCATCGGTATTTCATTCATCGGCACCTTCCATAGTGTCAAACCGCCAAAAGTACAGTTATATGCCGCACAGAATATCATCGAGATCGGCGTTAAGGCCGGTAAGATTGCTCCTGACTACAAACTCTTGGGCCAACGACAAGTCTCGAAGACCTCGAGTCCTGGAGAAGCTCTGTATGACATCTTAAAGTCGTGGCCACATTGGGTACCCACTCCTTGATGCAAATAGCGCGCAAGAGTTTACTGCGCTAAAGAATGAGATTGCGAAATGATTTCTGGTCTCTTGTCCATCTCTTTCGGATCTAAACGCGTGATGTCTGTTTATTTGGTAAAAACACAATTCCAATTTTAGTAATAGCTGACCAAGAATCACGTAGAAATTATTTCTCAGCAAACTATTAAATATCGGTAATGTTACATCAATTTTACAATGTTTTACTTAACACTACTGTTATGTACAACATAATTATAATGTAACTATTATACAGAGTGTTTATTTTAAAACTTTTTACTTCAATATTTTTTAAATATACATTCTAAGAAAAAATGTTTAATATAAAATTATTGGGTTTTGAGGCAGCCATAGAAGGCTACTATTTGTCTGATGGAGGCGTTAAGATCATGTCAAAGTCAACTTAAATTTTTTAAATGGAACCCCTTACTTTTTATTACATATTCTTGTAGTTTATCTCAAGAACTTTCCAAAACACTATAATAACGTATGTTTTCATTAAGTACTTTTTGAGTAATAAAACCTGATAGTATTGCATTAGCATTATCCAAAGTATATCACGCGGAGTATATGTTCGGTCGGATTTACACCTCTTTCGTGTATGTGTATGGATGTGGGTGTGTGTACGTGCGTGCGTGCGTGCGTGCGTGTGTATGGATGGATGCATGGATGCCCAGATAGAAAAATGTGTTCATTCTGAGCTCATATTGTATTTATCATATTGTATTTATCATATTGTATCTTCAAGCATGAGGACAAGAATAGACACTGATGCGGGCTCATATACGCCTCAGAATGTAGACATGTTATGATGTCACAAAAATACCTCATTTAATAATAATAATCAACATCATGTCAAGAATTTGCAACATAATTTGTACATCATTTGTGTGCATCTGCTGCTCATGTCATGAGATCACGTAATGATCTAAAAAAGTATCAAATTGAAGTCATAGTATTGAAAGATTACGAATAGGAGCGCCGCGTGGTGGCGCCAGCAGCCGGGAACGGTAGCGCCCTTCGACCATCGATTACGCGAGCAACCGATATCGATAGTAGAGTGGAGAGCGCGCGCAAGTTCGAGAGCACAAAGAGCGCAGGATCGGAAACGAGACCGATTCGGGAAACATCGATAAGCTTCTAGAAGATCCGGAAGAAAAAACTTAAAAAGCGATTCGAGACGAGAGAAGACACTCTCACGAGCGCGGGGAAATCGAGAAGTCGATTGAGAGAGTCGTCGAAAAGTCGAATAAGAGTCGTTAGATAATTGGCGGTATTTCGGTACAAAATCATAGTGTAAGTCGCGAGAAACGCTTTGTAGAATTGCAGAACATAATAAATGTTTGGTGATTTGTCCAGAGACATTGGGATTCTCTCTTTAATAATATTCCCTGAAAGTCCTTAGTTCGGCATTTCGAACCGTTGAAGGTCGTCGGGACGGTTAGGAATATTTACAACAAGAGAGGAAATCGGGTAGAAATTTTAACAAAGAGAATTAGTAGTATTATCGCGGTATTATCGCTTTATATATTATCTCAATGGTGACATTGACATAACACAACAGCAGCAAATATCGGACGACAGCCACCAGTACCAAAAGGAACAGCAGCGTGCGAACAACGCTGTACTGCCGGCCAAGAATCACGCATTCGACTTTCACGACGTGAAATAGGAAAAGGAGGCGGAGATCGCATACAGGACGATGAAGCTCGATGTTCCGGATAATGACAATGACAATAATGTTGGAGATAACGACATAAAAAATAACGACGAGAATAACGAGAATGATGAGGAGAAGAAGACGGACGTAGAAAATGACGAAGATGACGATAAGGAGGAGAAAGAAATGAACATGAAGGAGGTCGGCAACGACTGGAACGCTGATCCGCCGACCGGCATTCAGCAGCACCAGGCGGTCGCCATTGAGGATGATAACGTCGTCTTGCCAAGTGCCAACCTGTCCAATTTCGACGACGTGTACATGAAGAACTCGACGAACGTGCATCTGGGTAACAATACTGTCGACCAAATCCCAGCTCGTATCATCAAGAAGTTCGTTTACAAGCCACTTGCCAAAAGAATAAACTCGTTGCTGTCAGACTCCGATGAAAATATATTAGACTTGCCAACGAATAAAGCCAACGAGCTTCGGCAGATCAACACGTTTTGTAAAGGTAATTAGTCCTTTCGGGTAAATATTCAGAAGTACTACTCTACAAAAAAACTGTGACTTTTTTCTGTCTACTTGACAAAAAAGCTACAAAAAGACACGTATACAAGATTTTAAGGGGAAAGGGCTTACGATTTTTATAGGAAAAAATCCGAAAAGATAAAATGATAAATGTTTAGATGAACTTAACCATCTCTTTATCTTGAAATATGTTATAAAGGATGTAATTCTGAGCAACTTTTCTTAATACAACTATATGACAGTCGCTTATAGTGTGTTTCCGAGACATTAATAAAAAAGTTGCCTGTCTCTAGCTGTATGACTAAGAGGCTACGCCCCCCAGCCCTCCGCACTCAGCCGGGGCGAGACGCAGTCTTTTGTGCTTAAACTCAAAGTTATAAACAAAAGAAGTTTCGCAAATATAGTGTAGTTTCTTCATATTGTGTATATGTACTTCGTACATATGAAATGTATACCTTAGAAAATTTATGAAAAAATATATATTTTTTAAAGAGTGAAAACTCACAAAAGACTTCGTCCCCTCCCCCGGTCGATGCGGGAGATTTGGGGGGCGTAGCTCCCAGTCACACAGCTATAAACAGGCACCTTTTTAGCCTATAAACTCGATGTTTTTGTATATACGATAACCAAAAAATACATTCATTTTATGAATTTCTTTTGTTAATAACTTTTTAGTGAACAATGAGCGTCGGCTAAGATCTTTTGTTTGTAATTCAAGAGAATGCCCTCTATAACATATATCAAGATCAAGGCAATTGAAGTTGATTCTCCTAAACTAGTTTTACTATTTTATCTTTTCGGAATTTTTCCTATAAAAATCGTAAGTCCCCCCCCCCCTTAAAATCTTGTATACATGTCTTTTTTTAGCTATTTCTGTCAAGTACTAAAAAAAAACCACGATTTTTTGTAGAGTAGCATTTCTGAACATTTACCCGTCCAATTTTTTATGAATAATAACCTCAGGTATTGATAATATACTGTGCTATATCTCGAAAAATATGTTCAGCTATATCTCGTGAAAAATATATTTATGTATATATTTTTATAAAATTATAAAAATAAATTAATATTTTATAGTTGTAAAATTATATAAATATGAATATATTTATGTATGTATTTTTTAAATATTTTATATATTTTTTATAATATAATCACATTTTTATCGCAGCCAAAATTTATATATTAACAAGTAATTAATAGTATTTATCGAGATATTTTTACATCCTTGCCATGATATTAATATAACAGTAGTATGTGATGAGTAATTGATAAAATTTCTGACACGAACTGCACGAAAATGAGGATGTAATTGGGTTTATCACTCATTCTTTCGGAAAATGTCGCGTAATTATCACGTATAGAGTGGCGCGTGCATGGATAAATATTAGATTTTCCAATTAATGAGTTAAGAGGAAAGCACGAATTTAATAAAATATGACCGAATCCTTAGTGTGTATTGCATTGCGAAATATTACCAGAAGGCAACGACAACATTCGCATATTTATTTTCGAATTATTATTTTAATCACTTCTATTATCTCTTTCTTCATTTAGATCTAAAATCATGCATATTCGATCTATTTTGTGACGGTGTAAGGACAAGATACATCTCAAATAACCAATTTCTTTAGAATGAAGCACGCTCATTCATTTTCAGTAATCAAACAACGTTAAATTAAAACAAGAATTAATTGTAATTTATAAAGATAAAAGAGAAGTAGTAAGTTAGTTAATGTTTTAGTTACACTATATATACTTTGTATATGGATAAAAAATCTTTCTAAAACCAAATGTGATTTACGCTGTCATTGGTTCGATGATTTTTATTAGTTGAATACTTAAATATTTGTGCTTTTGAGAGAAGAGACTTTATTTATTTATTTCAGAAATGCGCAATGTATCCGTTATTAGAATTTAATACGCGCGATTAGTCACACGCAAACACTCATTTTCGTTTCGCCTTTTGACATAGCGATCGAGTTAGTTACGTCATTTGAGTTATGATAGACTCCGGGGAAATGATAATACGGAATCGTGGATCCTCCCCGTTTTATTCGTGAATCTTCCGACACTGTTTTTAGTTAACACAATTCTAAGATACTTCTAATTTCTGTCATTTCTACTTGAGATAAACATTATGGTAAACATGCATAATAAAAAACTAAAATCTCACAATTCCAGAAAAACGCCGATTTCAACACTGAAAAGTTACAATCCCGAAAACTACAGCACAGGCACAATTTTTCCTGAAATACTGAAAACACGAAATTGTTCTACAAAGTTGTATAATAAATCACAAATAACTTTACGCCTGCAATATTTCGGGAGATTGTTCGGCTGTAATCAATTTTCGGGATTGTGACTTTTTAGGACATTGTTCCATTTTTATAATTTCGCGATATCTTCTTTTTAAACTTATACATCCACTATAACTAGTGCATATACATTCACTATTATTAGTGAATGTTTCAATAAAAATCTATAGGAAAGAACAATGATCCGCTCACAAAATTCATATCTGATTTCGATTATCTTAACGCGAGCTGATATACTTTTTAACGGCGCTTGTGCAACACGGTCGAATTGCAAAAGAACGCCGCGTCGTTGAGTTGCAAGTTTCGAGATTGTGATGAAACGAACATGGTTTATTGTTTGGACTGTTGGTTTTGTGATAATTATGTTAGAATATATAACAGTGGGCGTTTATACACGGAAAATAATCGAGGATCCGAATTGAAAGTCCCTCTGGCGGCTGTAAAAAAAAATGAGGAATATCAAGCACAGTGTGTAATAAAATTCCCGAAACCTTATATAAAATACTTTTTCTTCTTTCTGAGTGTAAGAAATGATTATATATAATTATATAGATATTATATATAATAATATATGAATTAAATATAATTATATATAACTTATACTATGGCTAGTATATATACTAGTATATATGAGTTTTGTCTTTGTATGGTTATATGCATAATAATTATTGTTTTCATCTGTTTCTTTATTTCCATTCTCATCACTTCTGTCTTCTTTCACTACCTTTCTCATCTCCTTAATATTAATGTCTTGAAGTATTCAGCGCGCGTCAACTGAAAATTGGCGAGATCGCGAGGAGGAGGTTAATATTAATTATAATGCAATACTATTGTCGCATGCTTATTAACGTATTCGCATAGATTTAACTGTTGATTGCTATTGCCGCTACGTGATATTAGCTCCGCAGCGAGTCCCGACTAATTGTCTTTAACGTGGCTTTTGTCATTGTTCCAGTGACGCAATGGTGTACATGGAAGTACGTGGCTAAGTTGGTTATACTGGTCTTAATACTAATGTGTTCTATGGAGATATACAATCGGTATTTCCTGGAAATTCCGGGCTCATCTCTCGAAGAGGATTCTACCTTGAAAAGTAAGAAATAATAGGAGGGAGGATATTCTCTTCTTGACCTGTTTAAGCAGACGCAAGGGTGGAACAGTAAGCGCCATATTTGTATATATTGTCTACTGAAGCACGGCATTTGAAATAATGATGAAAGCAAATAGTGAAAAAAATTATAGATAATATAAATACAAATACGTAAATAAATAAATAAATAAATATATATATATATATATAATATATATATAGGATATAAAAAAATTAGACCGACAAACTTTGAGGGGAAATAGAGGACATAAAAACAAACATATTTTGTTAATAATGTTTTTTTCTACGACGCTTCGTTTTATTACTACGTTTGACTAGCAACCTTTGACTTTGAGAGACTGACAGCTGTATCATTTGGTACAGTAACATTGTTTCTCTCTGTAGTCGCCGTGCGTTCGGGATCGCGCCAGAGATGTCGCTTCCGAACGGCATCTCTGAGCGTTATCTAAGAAGAGGAGAGTGTCGTGAGTGTGGAGCGTCAGGTAGTTCAGTGGTTTAGAGCAGTCGCCTGGCAAGCGAAAGACCCGAGTTCGAGTCCCGGTCTAGCAGCAGGACCGCGCTCTCCGATATTTTTCTCTTTCTGGAACGAAAAAGATACGCAGATCTCGAACGCATGGCGTCCCGCCGACACCTAGTATGCCCTCCTCCTTCTACGTAGCAGAGTAAAAATACCAATTAAGTTGTTCTTAATTTAATAATTGATTGAACAAATATATTACAATTAAACCAATTGACGATTGATTTGAGCAAAATCAATCGAGGGATATTTAATATTTATATCCTTTTCCTTATCTATCGAATTACATTTCCTTACTTCATTCAACGGGTATCATATCATCCTCTCATACAATAATATCCCATATAATAATTTCTGTCACAACCTCTGTCTTTCATTTCAGTACATATTTACCATTTTACATATTTTATCTTTCCTCTTTCTATCCGATCTCTCCACTGTTTTCCGTATTCCACTTTCCCCCAAATTTTCTTCCATATTTTGTTAGTTTTATATCATTGTTAGTTTTATATTATATCATTCTCTATACTTCCTAATAATTCCTAATAATTCCATAAAGTAATTTCTCTCCTCTTTCTTGTATGTCTTCTTCAGCTTATATCGCCAAAAAGTTTTCTATATTCTCATACTTTTCTCTTATTTTTTGCAATCTTCTTACTTGTACAGCATTTGTCCCACCAATTCTTGTATCCCTTCTCTTCTATATACTTTTATTTTGTTTCAATATTCCATCCAATGACACGATACATTCTCGAACGTTACTTAGACGCGAAGTTTCTTTATTTTTCATCTTGTGTAACACTTCTTCTTTGTGATCATCAGGTTTAGTGAAAATGGACTTGGTGGAATGGAATGAATGGGGCGTCCAGCCGCCTTTGAGGAAGCTGAATTTGCCTGTGCCCTATGTAATCATCAGTCACACCGCCACAGACAACTGCACTACAAAGCTCGAGTGCATAAGTAGACTTACGCAGATCCACAAGAAGTTAAGGAAATGGTCAGATATCAGCTACAACTTCTTCGTTGGCGGCGACGGTTACACATACGTTGGTAAAGACTGGCAGTATGTCGGCGCCCATACTTTTGGCTACAACAATCGCAGCATCGGTATCTCCTTCATCGGCAACTTCAGTTGTATTACACCGTCAAAAGTGCAGCTTTATGCCACACGTAAGGTCATTGAGATCGGCGTTAACTACGGTAAGATTGCTCCTAACTACAAGCTCTTGGGCCAACGACAAGTCTTGAAGACCTTGAGCCCTGGAGAAGCTCTGTATGACATCTTAAAGTCGTGGCCACATTGGGCATTCACTCCTTGATTATATTATATATAAGATATATACAATAATATATACAATAATATATATACAATATATATATATATATATATATATATATATATATATATATATATATATATATATGTGGGAACATGAGTAGGCGCTAGGTTGGCTAGCCTGTGACGAGAGAGAGCAGAGAAGAAGGGGCAAGGCGTAAACACGCACGCGACGAGTCGGCTTAATAACCATCTCTTTATTATTCTTGTCAAGTCCATTAAACGCAACCCTGTCAACACATAGTTCGGTGCCGTAATTATTTGATCCCACATATATATATATATAATTTCTCAAAATTGTATAAACGTAATATTGGGACATTTTATATATACGTAAGGATGCGTTCAGATTCCCTACCCGGGTGCACTCTATTACTAGAAACACTATAGTATATGTTACATATACTATAGCACTTCTAGTATTAGAGTGCACCCGGGTAGGGAATCTGAACGTACCCTAATATTGGGACATTTTATATATACGTAATATTGGAACATTTTATATATACCCAGCAAACACAGATATGTAACAGTTACATTGCCGTAATGAAACGGAATATAACATGCAATATAACATGTATGTGATAGGTTATATAGACGTTCGTTGTAATTTCCTATTCACACGTGTTACAATTATATAACGTGAATATAATATAAAAGTAACATGCGACTAAAAAGTTATATAAGAGTTATATGTTATTCGTTAGCGAATTAACACATATTTTTTTGTTGAATTTCAACGATTTATTCATTAGTATGGTTTAGATAAATGATAATGAATGATTATTTTGTCTAAATAATAAAAAAAAAACTGACATTTCATATTCCGTATTATTTCAATTATTCGTGAAACTCGCGTGGATTCGATCCTATGTCAGGCGGCAACCATTTTTAGATCATGTTCAATGCTTAACTTCAACGATCGTCCGGGAACTGGTGATACCGATGCGCCGTAACGATATCTTGATAGATAATGTTTACAATATATTCTTATATATATCTAATATATTCTTATATATTATCGTTCAAAAAATGTTATGACATATTTGTTGGTAAATGTTTGACGCGACAATCACAATGCGATTAATATTGATACAATGTTGTATCAGTAGTAAAATTTTAACCTACAACGTGCTCGCAAAAGAGAAAGAATATTCCTTCTTTCTCTCTTACAATACTTTGACAGAGTAAGGTTATGATTAGACTCTTTTTGTAAGAACTCTAGTTTTACAATATCGTGATAACAATCTTTGCATATATTAAAATATCACATTTTATATACGAGAAATACCTAAAATATAATTTCATATTTGTGTATAAAAATATTGCACAACTGAAATGTAATGCAAACATTAGACTTCTTATATAACATGTTATATTAAAGTTATGTTGCTATTATATTGTTGATGCAACTTAACCAGTAAATAACATAATAACATAACAGTTTTATAACATAATTATATCGCAGTTATAAAGGAAATTAAGTAACCTCAATATTAATAATGTATAACAGCAATTATATTACATGTTATTCCAGTGTTATATCACAGTTATGTTCTGTGTTTGCTGGGTACTATGAAAACGAGTGTAATGTAAAGATTTATTTCAATGTAAATTTATTTTTAATAAAGAATGTACAATATGTATGTGTATATTTAATTTTCGTTCACTTTATATTCGCACGATATCCGCATTTCGTTTGGACTTTATTTTTAACCATTGTTATTCAACGTGGATCCCACTGTGCAAATAGTAAACGTTACATATTAGATACGTAACATATATGTTTAATGTCCTACTCAGAAACGTTTCTTCTACATAATAGCTCAGGAACCCTTATAGAAATATCATACTAAGTATCATTGATAATTACTTATTTTCAGTATTAAAAATACTGGATAATAAGTAATTATCAATGATTCTTAGTATGATATTTCTATAAGGGAATGTAGCAGAAATATTTCTGCTATTTAGAATGTAAGCTGCATTCCAAAATTCATTGCCAATACTGAAAATCTATAGTTCCCTATACAGCACAGAAGCTTGTAGCAAGATTGCAGTGCAATGTTACGGAGACATTGCAGTGACATTAATTTGCAATATTACTTTAGCAATATTGCAGCACTATTTAAAAAATATGACGAATATAATATAATATTTTTTATTTATTTATTAGTTATTTTTGTTATTTATATTTCAAATTCAGTAATATTTCACATCAATAGTGTTTATAGAATAGTACTTGTTAGTGACAGTCATTAATACTAGAATTTGTCTTATTACATGTTTCTTAAATTTCTTATACCGTTTTTTCGGAGAAAATACTTTCTTTAGATTTAATATTCGTACTTGTTTAACTTTGTGGTTTTTTTGTTTCATTAAAATATTATATTCTTAAACGAAATATCATTTTTTAAAATGATAAAAATAAAAACTTTTATTTCGTTTAAGGAAACCATGTCATTTGATGAAACAACACTATTGTTTTAAATAGTATTTTATAAAAGTTTCTTTCAAAATTTAGTAATTCGATTTATTTAATTTGGATTTTCTTGGATTTTTTATTTCTTTGGTTTGCTCCAGCTGAACTTCTTGCACTAGTTCAAGAGTGGAACTCGATTGACCACGATACGATTGGACAGAGATTGTAATGATTGGTTCGACCTAGTAATTCACTAGATAATTCTTTTCATCGGTTGGTAGTGTCCAATCGTACCGTGGTCAATCGGGACGCTCCCGTTCAAGAGGTGTACACTGGTGCGTTCTTTCTAGCAGAAGTGACGTCAGAGGTTACTGTTCTTTCCAACGGTGCAGCAGAACTTATGGTTCCTGCACACAGGACGCGGTAATGCTTGCCGCGCGGTGGAATTTCGCGCAACAGCCAATCAATATGTTGCTTTCCGTAATAATCTTCTAGCTCTTACAGAAAAACAACATATTGATTGGCTGTCGCGCGAATTTCCGCCGCGCGGCAAGCATTACCGCGTTCTGTGTGCAGGAGCCATTAGGCCTGGTTGCACCAACATTATTTTGGCTTTAAGCGAAACTTAAACATATATCTATCTTTATCTTTCTTCTTATATAAATAAAGATAGATATGTATTTAAGTGTCACTTAAAATAAAAATAAGGGCCGTGGCACACAGAAAAACTTAAGCAGTAAGACGTAG